GACAGGTCGGCGAGGAAGCTGTGGCTGCACCAGCAGGGCTACGCCGACAAGCTTCGTAGGCGCTTCATCGACGAGGAGCAGACCGGGCGCACCCCGAAGACGCCGGTCTCGGTCGATGCCTACGCCGAGCTCACGTTCGTTGACGAGGAGGCACAGGAGCGGCAGGAAGAGGAGTACCGGCAGAAGGTTGGCTCGCTGCAGTTCGCGGCGACGACGACGAGGCCGGACATCGCCTTCGCCTGCAGCAAGCTGGGGAGCGGCCTCACGGTGAGGAGCGACCAGCACTGGCACGAGGTCGACTGCTGCCTCGCCTACCTCGCCAATACGCGCGACACTGCCCTGGAGTTCGGCGGTGGACCTGAGTCACTGGAGCTGGTCGGCTACGTGGACGCCGACGACGCTGGTGATAAACAGAACAGGACGAGCACGGGTGGCTACGTGTTCGTCTACGGAGGGGCTGCAGTCTCCTGGTCGAGCCAGCGCATTAAGTGCGCGACGCTGTCGTCGACCGAGTCGGAGTACGTGGCGGCCACTGAAGCTGGCAAGGAGGGACGCCGCCTTCGCTTCCTCCTCGCAGAATTCCGGCAACTGGACGCCGGGAAGCCGACTGTCCTGCGAGTGGACAACAAGTCGGCTATCACGGTCGCCGAGGGCATGGGGTTGACGGGCAACCTCAAGCACATGGAGCGGCGACAGGCCTGGCTGCAGCACATGGTGAAGCGCGGGAAGTTCTCGCTGCAGTACATCCCAACCGCTGAGCAGCGGGCCAATTTCCTGACGAAGGCGCTGCACTATCCGGCCTTCAACTGGTGCTCCGTCGCAATTGGCCAGGTGCGCTTGGCCGACGTGAGCAACGGCGACAACGACGTGCAGCTGTAGGTGCCATGCCCTCTTGCATGGCTGGTGCGGTGACCGGTGTGCTATGTGCTGGGTGCACGCCGCGGGCTATTCCCGGAGCTGTACTGCCGTGTGTGCTGGGGGCCCAAGCATGAACGCGGCAGGGGAGTGTCAACGGGAGTTGGGTATTGGCCCCGTCCTCGCTTGGGCGGAGCCGACTTCGTGGTCGGGTGTGAGGGGAGCAGCCGGCCTTCAGCAGTGGGTGAGCTGGTCGACGAGGAGGTCGACCTGCACGGGGGACCACTGCACGGGCGCCGACTTCAGGGTGGCGCCGACTTCAGGGAGGTCGACTTGGGTGTCGACCTGCGGAGGACGTCAACTTGGTGACGTCAATTTGGGGAAGCCGACTTCGGCAGTCGGCTAACGGACTACTGGTCGACCTGTTAGTGGTCGATTGGACCTGGTGGTCGACGAAGGAGGGGCCGATGTCGACCTCGACTCAGGACGCCGAGCAGTTGGGCGTCGAGTAGCGGGGCGTCAACTTCGTGACGCCAGCTTCGGGTGGCCGACGTGGGTGGTCGGCCGACGAGAGTGCTGGTCGACGTGGAGGTGGTCGTCGACTTGGGAGGTCGACGGGCACGTACGGGAGCTGCTGGTCGACCAGGTTACCTGGGTGACGAAGTGCTGCGGAGGAGTGCGACGGTCGCCCAGGCGAAGTTGGCGAGCCCGACCTCGGTGGTGGTATCCCGAGGTCGTCGTGGCGGATCAGTCGTCAGCTCGAGGTTGACGTGGTGTGTGCGCTGTGCAGGTGACAAGACTCTGCGCGCCAATCATCTGCGCACAACTGCGAAGCAGGGTGCACTGCTGTCCTGCGTGAGCAACGCTGTCACGCCGTCAACCTGCGACGTTGGCACGCCGTCGACCTTGCCTTGCTGGAGCGCGGTCGACGAAGTCGTGCTGGAATGCGGTCGACCAAGCTGCGCTGGCAGTTGGCCGACCTGAATGCTTGCTCTGATGTAGTCTTGCTATGCCAACTTTATTGTAACCATAGTTCTGAATTTTTCCTAGTGAAACTCTTGCCAATTTTCCCCGTGAACTAGCAAGTAGTGTGTGCACAAGGAAAACGACTAAGGACTAACGAACGCAGAGATCACACAAGCACACGTGCCTAGCCCGTAGCCTAGCTCCCGTTGCTGCAGTTATCTCCGCACTTCCTTCCATGTGAGAATGTCTGGTCGACCAACGAGCGGCGGGGTGACCAAGATCCTGTCCAGCGTGAACTTGAAGTAGCCGTAGCTCGGTGCAATCCCGCCCGCCGTCACCTGGGTCGCCGATATCGGCGACAAACCACTTCGTCGTCCTCCGACGTTGCCCTGCGAGGAGCCTGCAGCCGCCGACGACTGCACCCCTCGCGCCTGAACGCCGCCGACTTCATCGGCGTGAATCACACCACGCTGCCTCGACGTGCCTCCCGCACTGCTGCCGACTTGGCCACCTCCGGCGTGGACGCCCACGTCGACGCCGCCTTTGTTGATCACCGGTCGAGGAGAAGCTGGTCGAGAAGAGGGATGTTCCATCGCCCACATAGAGCGTAGTCCAGACTCGACGACCGCCGAGGGTATCGCCCCATACTCCTGGGCCTCATGCCGTCTCCTTGCATCCTCCAGCCGTCCCTCCAGGGTGTCCATCACCTTGGTGTCACCTACGCGCACGCTAGGGACCTGTACGGCTGCCAGCCTACGAGCAACTTAGGTAAGTGACCTCTACGTCGACCTGACTGAAAGGTAAGTCGTGTGCCGTCCACGGTCACCGCACCATGCGGAGATAACTACTGCAACGGGAGCTAGACTACGGGCTAGGCACGGGTGCTCGTGTGATCTCTGCGTTCGTTCACTTCATCGTTTCCTTGTGTTCACGCCGCTTGCTAGTTCACGGGGAGAATTGGCAAGAGTTTCACTAGGAAAACATGACAATAATCGTCCAAATTAGTTGGCATGACAAGACTACATCAGAGCTAGCATTCAGGTCGGTCGACTGCCAGCAGAGCATGGTTGACCGAGTTCCAGCACGACTTGGTCGACCGCGCTCCAGCACGACTTGGTCGACCGCGCTCCAGCAGTGCAAAGTCGACGGCGTGCCAACGCTGCAGGTTGACGCTGTGCCAGCATTGCTCCCGCAGAACAACAGCGCACCTACTCCGCAGGTGCTCGTAGATGATTGGCGGGCTAAGCCTCGTCACCTGAACAGCGCACGCACCAAGTCATCCTCGTGCTGACAGCTCCACCTGATCCGCCACGTCGACCTCGGGATACCACCACCGAGGTCGGACTCGCCGACTTCGCCTGGGCGACCGTCGCAGTCCTCCGCAGAAGTTCGTCACCCAGGTAACCTGGTCGACTTGGCAACCACGTCGACCAGCTGCTCGCGTACATGCGCGTCAACCTCCCAAGTCGGTGACCTTGCAAGTCGGCGCCGACTTCCAAGTCAACGTGCCACATCGCCGACCACCAAGTCGGCGGCATTGCAGTGGCCCCGTGCAAGTCGACCAACCCCGTCGACCAGCTCGCCCAAGTCAGCGTCGCCCACTGCAACAAGTCGGCTGTACCTCCTGTACACCCAACCACGAAGTCGGCTCCGCCCAAGCGAGGACGGGGCCAACAACAACTCCCGTTGACAGAGGACGCGCTTGAGTTATCCTCACTGGTCACGCAGACGCTTCCTGGGCTGACGACTTGGCTACGCAGCGGTCGTCACAGGGTTACACTTTCAGCCTTGCCTCCGGCTCTGTTTCGTTGCGGTCTACCCGCTCGTCTTCTGTTCTCAGCTCCAGCTGTGAGGCTGAGATTTACGCAGGTTCCATGGCTGCACAAGAGTTACGCTGTCTCACCTACCTATTGACCGACCTGGGAGAGCCGCCTCGTTCTCCTCCAGTGCTATACGTTGACAACAAGGCCATGATTGCCTTGTGTTAGGAGCACAGACTGGAGCACAGAACAAAGCACATGGCTCTGCGTTACTTCCTTGCTCGAGAGTTACGGCAGCGTGGTCAGCTTCGTCTTGCTTACGTGGCCACTCGGGCCAACAGTGCTGATGTCTTCACCAAGGCATTTCAGCCTTGTGATCATCAGCATTTCTGTACTGTTCTAGGCCTTGTGCCCACTGGGCCTCACTTGCTGATTTCTTGACTTTGTTTGTACTGTGATCTATACATATATACCTACATGCTCACACTTGCTATGTTGTAATTACTGTATTGTTTGTTCGCCTTTATATAACTCTGCATGTGAACTGGTCTTGTTGCCATTTGCTTGTGCTCACAATGTGTGGTGACTTCGTGATCCACCCTGAGCTTGCTTTGTTTCTCTTGACTGGTCTTGTGACCTTTTGTTCTCCCCCACTTTGCTTATGGAGGTGTGTCAAACTTACATGCTACAGTCTGTGTAGGCTGTAGTGAGGTAGTTTATATGGGGTACAACACTTTAGGGTTTCCTTCTTGTACTTCTCATCTCATGCTGCTTAATGCAATCATTCCTCGTTCTATCTTTCACACGAGATCTACAGTTTTGTGTAAAACAGATACGGTAGACGCCGACGCTTATAAAATTCCTCGATTGTAAGCACACCCCTAAAAAAACAGTGTTTTTTTATATCCCCAGGGGCGCTTCTATTCGGAGGCTGGCGGTACTATGATATATATATATTCTTGCATGCCTACACTTGCTAGGTAATTACCGTATCATTTCGTTGTTTGCTCTCTTTTATATATCTATGCATGTGATGTGAACTGGTCTTGTGGAAATTTGCTTGTGCTCAGAGTCTGTGGTGATGTCGTGATCCACCCTGAGCTTGCTTTGCTTTTCTTGACTGGTCTTGTGACCCCTTGTTCTCCCCCACTTTGCGTATGGGGGTGTGTCGAAATGTTATGATTCTTATATTGTGTAGGCTGTAGTGGGGGTGGCCCCAAGGGGTACAACCCAATTAGGGTCAGTACTCGTACACACACTTTGATCAAAGTGATTCCATGAAACAAACCAGTTTTGTGCATAAAGGTGCCCCAAAAATATTTACGGTACGTACAAGCAGCTAAGACAAGCACAAGCACAGGCAGTAAATTACATCTACCACTTATCATGTGGTTACAAGGCACTAGGAACTAGACATGGTCAGACGGCAGCAGCGGGGACGGCTGCTCTTTGCTGGGAGGCGAGTGTGCTGATGGCCTCTCCTGCCTCACAGATTCGCGCTGCCGCCTTCCTGCCTGACAGTGTGGCGCCCTCCATGCTGTCTATGTAGTCCTGCCAGGGGGAAGAATGGAAGGAGGGTGGAGGGAGGTGGTTGTGAGAGGATGATGCGAGGGGGATGTGAGAGGGGGATGTTAGAGGAGGATGTGACAGGTGGATGTGAAGGGGATCTGGTGGATTACAGAAATGAGGATGGTAAAGCGACCTGATGAGCGGGTGGAGCCAGGAATGGAATGGGACACAGAGGGGGGAGCGGGGGGACAGGGGGCGTACCTGCTTGGTGTAGGAGCCGGCGAGGAAGAAGTTGGGGACGGGGGTCTTCTGGTCGGGGCGGAACTGGTCGAGGCCGGGAGCCTCGCGGTACAGCGACTGGTTGATCTTCACCACCGAGTGCCACAGCAGTGTCAGCCCCCGCGCTGATGGGAACAGGTCCATCACCTGGCAAGGGCCGAGGGCGGAGAGAGCAGGGGTAGGGCGAGGGGGAAGGAGGGGGGAGTGGTTGGTTTTAGGAGGAAGCAGGTGGAAAGCATCAGGAACGCATGCAGATTGCGGCGTGCGAATCAAAGCAATCTAGACTGAGGAATGAGAAATGAAACATGTGAATTGGAAAATTGTGAATTAAGGCATGTGGATGGAGGCATGCGGGCTAAAATACTAGCAGAAGTGGAATCCAGGGCACAGGTTGCATGAATGACCTGTTCATTCATCTTGGCCACGATGGCCTCGTTGGTCATGGGCATGTAGGGGTCGGCTGGTGTGATCACCACCCTGCCATGCAGCGACACGATTCATGGAGGACGGGGTGAGTACACGAGAGGAAGCACGCACAGGGGTTGCCAGGATGAGAAGATATTAGATTGGCGAGTATGTTATTGCATGGAGGAAAAACAAATTGATGGGAGCAATGTTGAACAGGGAGGGATGTGAGGGGCAGACCGAGCGAGATGAAGCAGTGCCCAAATGAGTTGCTCAGCATGGCCAGCACAACAAGCAAAGGACGCATGGTGACCATGGGCAAGGCAGGTGTGGGCGGGGAGGGGGTGAACGCAGGGCGGGGCACTGACTGCATGAGCGAGCCCTGGCCCTCCTTGTAGTAGTCGTCGGGGCTCGTGAGCGCCAGGTCAGCGAAGCATGAGAAGTCCGCATCCGGCGAATAGAGCAGATTGTCCAGCCCTGCCGCCCGCGCCAGCTGCCTGCACGGTGGGGACAAGACAGCACAACACAGGAGCAGAGGGCGGCAGGGGAGGGGTAGAGGCGGTTGCTGGCATGACCAGACAGTGGACTCAGATGAATGATGAGGGCGATGCATGCACTGGCAGCACAAGGGGCGGGGTGTGCAGGGGAAGGGCAGAGGGCGCACCTAGAGAGTTCAATGTCATTCATCTCGGTGACCCAGCCATCGTAGCGCAGCTGCACGGTGATGACGGGCACGCCCACCAGCTCGTAGATGTCCCTGAACTGCGCCCACCGCTCCCTCCACTCCCCCGGTACCAGCCTCTTCGCCCCGGGCACGTCCAACGCTGTTGGTACAAGGATGGGAGGAAACGAGGAGCAGCATGAGAGCGACCGGAGCGCTGACGCTAAGTACAGAGGCAGGACCAGAAAAATGCTTTGGGTGCTTGATTGAATGGCAGACAGGCATGCATCTCTCCTTGTCCCTTCCATTTGCAAAACCCAGCCAGCAGGTCATTCCAGTGCACCAACCTGCCTCCCATGCACCAACCTGGCTCCCATGCACCAACCTGCCTCCCATGCACCAACCTGCCTCCCATGCACCAACCTGCCTCCCATGCACCAACCTGCCTCCCATGCACGCACCAGCAACATATGCATCTGCAGTCACAATTTGTTCCTTGCCTCCCGCCTGCCACGTAACACAGCAGGCAGCAGTGTAGGGAAGGCAAAGGTTTGTGGCACATGGAATGATTGCCGCACCGCAATGAAGAGCTCAGTTGGCATAGAACGGAAACCAATGGACTCCACCATGCCACTGCCTGCCTACTCCTGCCCATTATTCCCCCCCCCTTTCACCCGCATCTGCCACTTGCACCCCGTCGTCCTCACCTGCTTCATGCGCAGGCCGGTGACAACGGTGGAGCCATCAGCGGCGGTGGAGTAGAGCACCTCCTGGCATGGCTGCCGCACGTGGAACCTGCTCACGCACCACAAGGGGCATGTGGACAGGACAGCACAGTAGTGCGGGTGAGCTCAAGCAAGCCACACCGTTTATCATGCTCCCCTGCCAGCCCGCCCACCTTCCCCTCCTCATCCTCCCCACTGCCCCAATGCTGGCCCTCCACAATCCATCTTCAAGGTGCTTGCATGCTTGCTTACATTTCATCCCAACACCTCCCAGCTGAGGATATTATTTGCACACTTGATAAAACTTCCACTGCTTCACTTCACTTTTCGTCTGTTGCTCTTCCACACTCCCCACAAGTGCAAGCCCCCGCAGTGGGTTATGCCCGTGGCTCACCTGCCGCCACGGTCGGTGATGTATTTGGCGATGGGCCCAGCAAGGAAGCGGTCGGGCGAGCCGCAGAGCATGCGCAGCACGGAGGCTTCGGTCTTGGTGGCGAAGAAGGCGAAGATGGTGAGCATGCAGCGCGCGCTGATGTTGTCGCAGTCTATGAACCCCAGCGCGTACGCCACCGGGTCCCACATGCGCTTGATGCTCTCCCTCGTGCCGCCGTGCGACGTGAACCACTCGCTGAAGCTCACCTGCTCGCCCCCACGCAGCACAGCGGGGCAGCACAGAGGGGCAGCACAGCGGGGCAGCACAGTGGGGCAGCACAGAGGGGCAGCACAGTGGGGCAGCACAGAGGGGCAGCACAGCGGGGCAGCACAGTGGGGCAGCACAGCGGGGCAGCACAGTGGGGCAGCACAGAGGGGCAGCACAGCGGGGCAGCACAGGCAGATGAGGCCTGCGAATAACTGAAACGACAGCAATTGAAACGGTGGATGATTCCATCCATAGCATTCGCAAACGAGCGTGGCTTTCTCAGCAAGGCGAGAGAGCAAGGACCCGCATAGCCGAGGTGGGGGAGCGAGTGGGTTGGTGGGGTATGGAGATGGAGGGAGGGGGAAGGAGGGCGACGTGTTGGGAGGGAGGGGAGGGGAGGGGCGGGGCGTGCCTTGTCGAGGTCGCGGATGTCCTGGAAGGCGCCTTCGGGGTCCACCAGTGCGCGCACCACGGGGCTCGTCGCCAGCGCCAGCGCGTTGAACGCCTTGTCCACCGGCTGCAGCGCGCATGGGGGTGGGGGAGGATGCACGGCTGATGATGTGATGACGACCCCAATGAATCATCAACTTCTGGAAGTCACCCATCATGGAAACAGAGGCGCCGGTCACTGTGCTGTGCAGCCTCACTGGCGAGTGGACTTAATCTATCAAACAAGGGTGCATTTCGGAATGACAGGCAGCAATCAGCGTGCAGTGCAGCGCCAGAGTGGTGGCGGGGAATGAGTGAGGCGTGATAGAGATGCGCGAGAGGGGCGGCTGACCGAGAGCTGGTTGGTGGTGAAGAATGCCTTGAGCCCGTGGAAGGGCGCGCCCGTTATGAACCGGAAGTCCAGCTCTGAGCACGCCATGCCATGCCATGCCATGCCACGCGGACGCGCGGAGAGGGGGAGCGGGATGGGGGCCGGACCGTAAGGGTTGAGAAAACGAGAATAAAAAAGGAAACCAGCTGGATGGAGAGAGAAGAAAGACGGCGCGTGTGGTGCTTGGAACAGCATCTCCAGTGCAAACTAGCGTGGGTGACGGCAGGGGTGGACGGCGGGCAGGGAGGGGCTCACCGCCAGTGACACCGCCCTTGTTGATGAACACGTGTGTGTGCTCCTTGCGCAGCAGGTTGTCCACCGCCCCACTCTGCACACGCCACAGACCAGGGTGGGAACACAGATTCAGAAAGCTAATGTTTGACAATGGTGACAAGTGTTTGGGCTACGAGGCGGAAGTAGTTGCGCTTGCCTTGGCCATGAGGCGGAAGAGGTTGTTGTAGCAGCCGAAGAAGACGTGAAGCCCCATCTCGATGTGGTTGCCGTCCTTGTCCTGAAAGCTCGCCACCTTGCCGCCTATGAACGGCCGCGCCTCGTATATGTCCACCTGCTCGCACCCAACACTCGCACCGCGCACTCCGCCCGCGTACGCACATCCCCCATGCACGCACATCCCCCATGCACGCACATCCCCCATGCACGCACATCCCCCATGCACGCACATCCCCCATGCACGCACATCCCCCATGCACGCACATCCCCCATGCACGCACATCCCCCATGCACGCACATCCCCCGCGCACGCACATCCCCCATGCACGCACATCCCCCATGCACGCACATCCCCCATGCACGCACATCCGGTGCACGCCCGCGCATGGCATGTGGAACTTTCAATTAGCGTGAGAAACTGGTTTGAGCAACTTGAATGAGCAAGATTGCCACGCTACAGCGAGATCACACCACATGCGGCGTGCTTCTTTTCAAGGGCCATTTCGTGCATTCAGTTCAGCCGTTAATTTGCACCACATTCCAGCAGCTCACCTCGTGGCCCTGGTCGAGCAGCTCGGCGGCGGTGGACATGCCGGCCAGCCCCGCGCCCACGATGGCCACCTTGAGCTTCGGCCCCGTGTACTTCTCCGGCTCCGGCGGGAACAGCCCCTTGGGCGCTGCCGCGCACCGAGGGGGGGAACGGCGAGAGACAAGGGGAGACGGAGACAGGACTCAAAATGCAGCGAGACACCACAATTCGCGAGGGGCGTGCAGAACAGCAACACCGCAGAGTTACAACGAATTCGACAAGAGGCGCAGCAGCAGTGCGTACCCACTGGTCTCTGGGTCTTTCCCTACCCGCCATGCTCATACCGCACGCGTTCTGCTTATGCCACACCCGTTCCGCTCATACCGTACCAGCTCGGTTCGGATCGTAGCTGCGCGGCTTATATCCTACATGCGCGGCTCCCATCCTATCCGCGCGGCTCATATTCTACCTGCCCGGCTCACATCCTATCCGCGCGATTTATGCGCGGGAGACATCGTACCGGCGCGGCTCATGTCGGAGACGTAGTCCATGATGGCGGACGCCCTCGTGACCGGCGCTGCCGCCGTCCTGCCGCTCGGCGCATTGAGAGGTCGCACCGCCACCTTCACCTGTGCATTGAAAAAGGGGGGGACGGGATGCGAGTGAGGGGAACTAGACAGCGGCGAATTGAGATAGCATACCCCAGCGGAAGCACGACAGGCGAGGGTGGCTGGAGCCGAAGGAATGAATCGGTGGTGTACCTGCCGTGCCAATAGGCGTCGACCTCCTAGAAGAGGCTGCGGCCAGCTAGTTTGCAGCGCGGCGGGTTGAGCGAGGGCAGCCATGGCGGACGAGGTAGCACTGGAGATGAAATGAAAGGCAGCTGCTTTGCAAAAACTGCTGTGCTGGGGATGGATGTTGTGGTGTGTGCCTTGAGAGGCGCGTGGTTGAGGGGTGTGCACTGTACAGTTCATGAAAAGTGCAGTTCCCAAGGGCGCAAAGACGAGGCAGTGAGGACGCGGTAAAAGTGCTCGATTGGGGGGAGATCGATCCGGTCACCGCACTGAAACCCCGCGTTTTGCATACGAAGGTACACGACCGTTTACAACCGCGGAAATAAACGATCCTGAGGCGATCGATTCGCGTCCTGAGGCTCAAGTCGAGAAACCTTTCCACGTCACCCTCAAGCGCCACGAATCTTAGGGTTTTGGCTCCCGAATGGCATGCCCTCCATGTGGGGTATATTTTTTTCCTTGCCCGCGCTCAGCTTGCCAGCTCATTCGACTGCCAGCGTACCTTACAAGAGCGTGGCTGTGAGCCGCTCACGTGGCACCTTGAGAGCCGCGACAATCAATGTGGGCATATATCTTAGGGAAAGTACATCCCAGCTCCTGTGTTTCGGAGTTCTCTCATATTTAGCTCCAGATTTACTCAAAAAGCATGATTTTTTGGGATTTCTCTCATGCGAGGCCCAAAGTATGTTCAAAACTGGTCCTGCGAGCAAAATTTTCGACACGTGTCCAACTTCGCGTCAGATTTTTTTCGACGGGGTTAAAACCAGAAAACCCTTAGGGAACCAGGACACAATTTCGGGAGGGATCAACCCTAAACACGGGGACCCGCTAGGTGTTTAGGGTTGATCCGTCCCGCAAATGTGTCCTGGTTCCCGAGGGGTTTTATGTTTTTTGCACCCGTCTAAAAAAATTAATGCGAATTGGACACGTGTCGAACAAAATTTCCCCGCAGGACCAGTTTTGAACATAATCTGGGCCTCGCGTGAGCAAACTTCCAAAAAGTCGTACTTTTTTAGTGAACCTGGAGCTAAATATGAGAGATATCTGAAACATAGGAGCTGAGATGTACTTTCCCTATATCTTAGCGGTAACACTCATGCAGCTCGATCGCACGCGAGGTAAGCCACGTTTCTAAATCGTAACAGAGATATCTTCTCGTCGCCACCATGGTAACCAGCATTGCCGAGATGGTCATTATTGCCTGAATGGTAATGAACAGTGCATCCGGAAATCCTGGCTGGTAACTTCGCGTTTCAACAAAACTCTACACCGTACAAGTCAGGTTTGACTCAGCAAAACTAAACTGACTGTCCACGTATACACCCACATTAATGCGCGTTTCTCTTTAGTATACAGTCGCTTACAAAGCCAAAATGTTACATGCACGTATTCGATATTTATTTCCTATCACTATTACAGCAAGCATCTTACGAAAACTCTGGAAAAACAAATGTAGCCTAACTATTAAAAAATTAAAATTCAAATATCTGTTAATACAGTCTAAATCATGACTTGAATGCATTATTTATTAGATCAATAAAAGGTTCTAATTTTTATGCAACTTTTATTTGTCAAACATTATATATGTTATGCTTGTGTAGGCTACAGTGGGTTAGCCTATAGGGGGTACACAATTCTAGGGTTTCCTACTTGTACTCATTTTCACTGCTAGTTCATCCATTCCTGTACGCTTATTCTCACATGGTATAGAGCGGGTCCTTCTACGGACCGTTTTTTTTTTTTTTGGGCCCACCGAAGCGCCCCCCGAGGCGCGATCTTTTTTTTAGCGACCCCTCGGGTCGCCATTTCCCCTGCGGCCCCGCCGCCTTCACTGGCGCGGCCCCGCCGCCCTCTCTGTCGCGGCCCCGCCGCCTGCTCTCACGCAGCCCCGCCCCGGCTCCTTCGCGGCCCCGCTGCCTGCTCTCGCGCGGCCCCGCCCCGGCTTCTACGCGGCCCCGCCCCGGCTTTCACGCGGCCCCGCCGACGGCTTTGTCGCGGCCCCGCCCAGGCCCTTACGCGGCTCCGCCGCCTGCTCTCACGCGGCCCCGCCCCAGCTCCTTCGCGGCCCCGCCGCCTGCTCTCGCGCGGCCCCGCCCCGGCTTCTACGCGGCCCCGCCCCGGCTTTCACGCGGCCCCGCCGACGGCTTTGTCGCGGCCCCGCCCAGGCCCTTACGCGGCTCCGCCGCCTGCTCTCACGCGGCCCCGCCCCGGCTCCTTCGCGGCCCCGCCGCCTGCTCTCGCGCGGCCCCGCCCCGGCTTCTACGCGGCCCCGCCCCGGCTTTCACGCGGCCCCGCCGACGGCTCTGTCGCGGCCCCGCCCAGGCCCTTACGCGGCCCCGCCGCCTGCCCCCGTCGCGGCCCGGTCGCCTCCTGACGGCCCCGCCGTCCCTTCGTGACGGCCCCGCCGTCCCTTCCTGACGGCCCCGCCGTCCCCTCCTGACGGCTCCTGCCGTCCCCTTCTACCGGCCCCGCAACTGCACCTGCTGGCCCCGCCGCTGCACCTACCGGCCCCCACCACCCACCCCCCCCTTTTCCCGTCGCCTGTCGAGGCGACCTGAGGGGGCCGCTTGCGGGAGAGGCCAGCAGAGGGGTGGCAGGTGCGTGGCCTCCCCTGCTTCTCCTCCTCCTTCATCGCTCACCTGCAGCAGCCGAGCCGCCCCACCGCCGAGCCGCCCTGCACCCGAGCCGCCCAGCAGCCGAGCCGCCCTGCCGCCGAGCCGCCGGGTCGCTGAGCTGCTGAGCTGCAGTTGCTGCCGAGCCGCCCTACCGCCGAGCCGCCGAGTCACCGAGCTGCTGAGCTGCAGTTGCTGCCGAGCCGCCTTGCCGCCGAGCCGCCCGAGTCGCCCGAGCCGCCGAGCCGCCGAGCTGCCGAGCCACTGAGTCACCGAGCCTACTCTTCCCACCACTGGTGAGCTCTTGCCCTGCTAGCACGCTGCGCGTCGCCTGCTTGCCTGCCTGCCTGCCTTTTGGCTTGCCTGGCTGCCTGCCTTCCTGCTGCTAGTCCTGCTCCTGCTTCTACTTGCGGAGCCAGATGCAGCCCCAGCGACGCCTGCGTGAGTCCCTCACGCCCCAGCAGCTGCGTGAGTGGTACGCTGGTTGGGGCTGTAGGGGTGGCGACGCTACTCCTACTTCTACTCCTGCTGCTTCTACTCGTGGTGGCGGCCAGATGCAGCTCCCGCGACCCTCTCGCGTGTCTCTCACGCCTCGCCAGCTTCGTGAGTGGTACGCTCAGAGTGGAGGGTCTCTCAGTGCTGTTCGCTGCTCTTACGTGATTCGCACTGGTACTCGGACTGGTCAGCCTTGTGGGACACGTAGTCATACACCGTCCCGCTGCTTCGCCCGTCTGAGCGACGCCTGGCGTACCGTGTTTGGCGACGAGGCTGAGCTTCCCGACTGGGTGGAGTTGCTTAGGCAGAGGGTAGATATATATGCTCTTGACTATGATGCTATCCTCACTGCCATGTATGCATTGCCTACTAGTGCTGACCGTGCCGGTCACCTGTGCGTCCCGCCTGACCCAGGTATAGGACCTGCTGCTCTAGCTACTGGTGAGGCTGCTGCTCTGGGTGCTAGTGAGTCTCCTGCTCCAGGTACAGGTGCGGCTGCTGCTCTAGGTGCTAGTGAGTCTGCTTCCTCAGGTGCGGGTGAGGCTGCGCTCTCAGGTACCGCGTTGGCTTTGGCCTCCCTCACCTTTACACTTGACTCTGGGGCTTCTCGCTCCTTCTTTCGGGACCGCACCACACTCACGCCGCTTGGTCGGCCGGTTGCATTCTCCCTGGCTGACCCCTCTGGGGGTCCTGTCCTCGCTCACTTCTCCACTGTCCTCCCGTGTCCGGCTGCCCCCTCGGGCACCCTGTCTGGCCTGTACCTCCCCTCGTTCTCGACGAACTTGGTGAGTGGTGCAGACCTACAGGATGCGGGGGTTCACCAGTTCACTCCTGCGAGTCAGCGGGTGACCCACTGCACGGACGCACGCACAGGCCGGCACCTGGCCACGTTCTCGCGTCGGCCGGGGTCGAGCCTCTACACCCTGACCACTGAGTCTCCTCCTGTCCCCGCGTCCGGTCAGGTAGCAGCGTCGGGTCAGGTGTTTGCTGCTGCGTCCAGGTCTGGTCCTGAGTCTGCCCCCTGTTCGTGTCGCCTCCTGTCTCACGAGACTCTTCTGTGGCACCACCGTCTAGGCCACCCCTCCTTGCCCCGTCTTCGGGGCATGGCTTCCCGTATCCTTGTCTCTGGTCTTCCCCAGTCTCTCCCTCCCCTTCCTTCGGGACCAGGACCTTCCTGTGTCCCCTGTGTCGAGGGGCGCCTCAGGGCTGCTCCTCACTCCTCCCAGTTTCCCCCGACAGAGGCTCCTCTGCAGACGCTTCACATGGACGTGTGGGGCCCGGCCCCCGTCCGTGGGCAGGGTCACGAGCGCTACTTCCTGTTGGTGGTTGACGACTACTCGCGTTACACCTCAGTCTTCCCCTTGCGCAGCAAGGGTGCTGTCACTTAGGTGCTGATCGACTGGATCCGCGAGGCTCGTCTCCAGCTCAGGAGGAGCTTCGGCTCGGACTTTCCTGTTCTGCGTCTGCACTCTGACCGAGGTGGGGAGTTCTCCTCTCGCCTTCTGCGAGACTACTGTCGTGCACAGGGGATCCGCCAGACCTTTACGCTTCCGGACTCTCCACAGCAAAATGGGATTGCTGAGCGCCGCATTGGCATGGTCATGGATGTCGCTCGTACGTCCATGATGCATGCGGCTGCCCCCCATTTTCTGTGGCCGTTTGCGGTTCGGTACGCGGCGCATCAGCTCAACCTTCACCCCAGGGTCTCTCGGCCCGCGATGTCCCCAGTGTTACTGTGGACGGGGAAGGTCGGCGATGCATCTGCGTTCCGTGTCTGGGGATCTCGGGCGTTTGTCCGCGACTTGTTTGCGGACAAGCTGTCCCCCCGTGCTGCTCCCTGTGTCTTCCTTGGCTTCCCCCCTGACGCTCCAGGGTGGCAATTCTACCACCCCTCCTCTCGTCGTGTTCTGTCCTCCCAGGACGTCACGTTCGACGAGTCAGTCCCCTTCTACCGCCTCTTCCCCTACCGTACTCCTTCCCTTCCCCCCCCACCGGACTTCCTGGTACCATTTCCCCCCCCGGTAGACCCCCGCCCCCCTCAGGTTCCTGCCCCTTCGGGTGTGTCCCAGGTAGACACGGTCGAGCCAGTCGAGGTTGCTGCTGAGTCTGGTGCTGCTGCTTGGGGTGCTGAGCCTGGGGGTGCTGAGCCTGGGGGTGCGAGGCCGGGGGGTGCTGAGTCTGGGGGTGCTGAGCCGGGGGGTGCTGAGCCGGAGGGTGCTACGTCAGGAGCTGCTGAGCCTGGGGGTGCTGGGCCTGGAGGTGCGGAGCCTGCGCCTGCTGGACCTGGCGGCTCTCCGGTTCTTCCGTCTCGGCGGGAGCCGCTCTCTCCACAGGAGCTACGCGAGTGGTTTGCTCGCCGCTGGAGGCGTTCTGCTGGAGCTGGAGCTTCTTCGCCTGCTGCGGGTGCTGCCGGTCCCGGAGCTACTGGGCCTGCGGGTCCTACTGGAGCTGGAGCTACTGAGCCTGGGGGTGCTGAGTCTGGAGCTGCTGAGCCTGGAGGTGCTGAGTCTGGAGCTGCTGAGCCTGGGGGTGCTACGTCTGGAGCTGCTGTGCCTGGGGGTGCTGAGTCTGGAGCTGCTGAGCCTGGGGTTTCTCCTGCTGCTGCGTCTCGCCGGGAGCCCCTCTCTCCACAGGAGCTGCGCGAGTGGTTTGCTCGCCGCTGGAGGAGTGCTGCTGGAGCTGGAGCTTCGTCGACCGTCGAGGGTGCTGGTGCTGCCGGTCCCGGAGCTGCTGGGCCTGCGGGTCCTACTGGAGCTGGAGCTGCTGAGGGTGTTGGTGCTGAGACTACTGCTGTCTGTCGTGGCGGTGGTTCTGCTGCTGGTGCTGCTGGAGGTCCTGCCGCTGGAGGTGTTGGTGGCGCTGGTGCTGTCGCTGAGGGTGCTGGTGCTGTCCCTGCTGAGTCTGGAGCTGCCGCGCGGCCTCGGCCGTACTTCGTTCCGCTCCTACAGCAGGTTCTTGGTCTTTCTCCTTCGGTAGAGTGTCCACAGCCTGTCCAGTCACAGTCACTGTTGGAGCCTTCCTCTCCTCTGCCTGCTCCCTCTCCTTACACTGGTCCTACTGGAGGTCTTGCTGAGCGTCGTGAGCCTGCGTCTCGTCCCGCGTCGCCTGTTCGTGCTGCTCGCGCTAGTGGTCGCGGTTCGCGTCAGCGTCCTCCTCCTGTCCCTGGCACGCACCGGATGTCTCTGCGTCCGTCCACTGCTCCTCTGCGTGCCCCTTTGCCTTCTCCTCCTGAGTCCTCTCTTCCTGCGCTTGCCGACCCTGAGTCGGACTCTCTTCGCGCTGCCAGTCCTACTGTCACGCGTCTGCTTGCTACTGTCGTCACTGACCCCTCTTTTGAGTCCACTGCTGCGTCTGCTCTAGTCGCTGAGCTCGTTGACTTTGCTGCTCGCTGTCATCTCGACTACGCTGCTGGTCTTGTTGCTGAGTCTGCGTCTGTCTGTCCTCCGTCCGTCGGGGGTGAGTGTGCTCTTGGCACGGACGTCCTAGAGGACAGACAGGAGGAGTTACAGTGTCTAGCGGCTGCTTCACCTCATCTCGCGTCTGTACTGCTTGCCCCTGAGGGAGACCCGGATGCACTAGACATCCCGACTCCGCGTTCTTACGCGGAGGCCGTAGAGGGTCCCTACTCCTCTCAGTGGCAGGCAGCTATGGATGCAGAGATGGCTTCCTGGAAGTCCACAGGCACCTACGTTGACGCAGTTCCCCCTCCTGGGGCGAACATCGTCAGTGGCATGTGGATCTTCCGGGTGAAGCGGCCGCCGGGCTCTCCACCTGTCTTCAAGGCGCGGTACGTTGCTCATGGCTTCAGTCAGCGGCAGGGAGTTGACTACTTTCAGACCTTCTCTCCCACCCCGAAGATGACCACTCTTCGGGTGCTGCTGCACATAGCCGCCCAGCGCGACTACGAGCTTCACTCTCTCGACTTCAGCACTGCGTTCCTGCAGGGTAGCCTGCACGAGGAGATCTGGCTGCGCCGTCCACCTGGCTTCACTGGGACTTTCCCTCCTGGCACCCAGTGGAGCCTCCGACGGCCAGTCTACGGTCTCCGCCAGGCACCGCGTGAGTGGCACGACACACTGAGGACTACGCTTGCGGCTCTTGGGTTTGCTCCTTCTACTGCTGACCCGTCGCTGTTTCTGCGCACCGACACTTCACTGCCGCCGTTCTACATCCTCGTGTACGTCGACGACTTGGTCTTTGCCACAGCGGACACTGCTGGACTCGCCTACGTGAAGTCCGAACTGCTGAAGAGACACACGTGCACAGACCTGGGTGAACTGCGCAGCTACCTTGGCTTGCAGATCACTCGGGACAGAGCACGCCGCACCATTACCTTGACTCAGTCACACATGGTGCAGCAGGTCCTTCAGCGCTTCGGCTTCACGTACTCCTCGCCTCAGGCCACTCCTCTGCCTACTCGCCACTCACTCTCAGCTCTGCCTTCGGATGAGTCCGTAGAGTCGAGTGGTCCGTATGCAGAGCTTGTTGGCTGCCTCATGTACCTGATGACCTGCACACGACCTGACCTTGCATACCCTCTGAGCATTCTTGCACGCTATGTTGCTCCTGGGAGACACAGACCAGAGCACATGGCTGCAGCGAAGAGGGTATTGCGCTACCTGTGCAGTACGTCGGGCATGGGGCTTGTGCTTGGAGGGCGGAGTCCAGTGGTCCTTACCGGCCACGCGGACGCTTCTTGGGCTGACGACCAGGCTACGCAGCGGTCGTCACAGGGTTACACCTTCAGCCTTGGTTCCGGCTCTGTCTCGTGGCGGTCTACTCGCTCGTCTTCGGTTCTCGGCTCCAGCTGTGAGGCTGAGATCTACGCCGGGGCCATGGCTGCACAGGAGCTTCGCTGGCTCACCTACCTGCTGACTGACCTTGGAGAGCCGCCTCGTTCTCCTCTAGTGCTGTACGTAGACAACAAGGCCATGCTGGCCTTGTGTCGAGAGCAGCGCTTGGAGCACAGAACGAAGCACATTGCTCTCCGCTACTTCCTTGCTCGTGAGCTGCAGCAGCGTGGTCAGTTGCGACTTGCGTACGTGGCCTCTGAGGCCAACACTGCTGATGTGTTCACCAAGGCACTCGCGCCTTGTGACCATCAGCGCTTTTGCACCCAGCTGGGTCTTGTACCTGTCTTGCCTCACTTGCTCTCCTCTTGACTTCACTTGTACTGTGACATATATATATACTTGCTCTTGCTTGTCTAGTTTTATATATATGTATGTACTCCTGCATGTGAACTGGCCTCTGGCCCTGCTCTTGTGCTCGGACTGTGTGGTGACTTTGTGATCCACCCTGAGCTTGCTTTGCTTTGCTTGACTGGTCTTGTGACCCCTTGTTCTCCCCCAGTTTGCCTATGGGGGTGTGTCAAACACTATATATGTTATGCTTGTGTAGGCTACAGTGGGTTAGCCTATAGGGGGTACACAATTCTAGGGTTTCCTACTTGTACTCATTTTCACTGCTAGTTCATCCATTCCTGTTCGCTTATTCTCACATTATTGTCTGTTATTTATACATAATAATTTTCAGAATGATATATAAATGTTTGTAACTTGGTCTAGCTCTATTTCTTTATATTCATAAATATAATAATGATAGGGTAGAATAATTCATGTCAAATAATTTATCACCAGGATAGCTTTGCGGTTTAACATGTCAAACATATATGCTATGGTCTATTTAGGCTGTAGTGGGGTAGACACTATAGGGTACAACATTTCTAGGTTTCCTACTTGTACCCACATTCTGCCTAGTCAACTCAGTCCTCGTTCTTCACATGAAATAGAGCAAGTTCCCTCGTGGGAACGTTTCTCAGGGCCCAATTACTAACTCGATCTTTTTTTTCCTGCCCGAGGCGTGCCCCGTAGGCCGCCCTTACGTCGCGCCCTCCTAGAGGCCCCTCGCGCCACCCTTAACGGACCCGTCGCCGTCCTTAGCGACCCTGTCGCCGCCCCTCTAGGCCCCTCGCGGCCCCTTCACGGCCCCGTCGCCGCCGCTCTAGGCCTCGTCGCCGCCGCTCTAGGCCCCTCGCGGCCCCTTCACGGCCCCGTCGTCGCCGCTCTAGGCCCCGTTGCCGCCGCTCTAGGCCCCTTGCGGCCCCTTCACGGCCCCGTTGCCGCCCCTAGCGGCCCCGTTGCCGCCCCTCTAGGCCCCTCGCGGCCCCTTCGCGGCCCCGTCGCCGCCACTTGCGGCCCCGTCGCCGCCCCCTCTAGGCCCCTTACGGCCCCTTCGCATCCTCGTCGCCGCCCCTCTAGGCCCCTTGCGGCCCCTCTGCGGCCCCGTTGCCGCCCCTAGCGGCCTTGTCGCCGCCCCTTCGCGGCCACCTCGCCGCCCCTAGCGGCCCCGTCGCCGCCCCTAGTGGCCCCATCGCAGCCTCTACCGGCCCCCTCGCCGCCTCTACCGGCCCCTTTACCGCTGAGCCGCCAAGCAGCTGAGCAGCCGAGCCGCCCAGCAGCCGAGCCGCCCAACAGCCGAGCTGCCGAGCCGTCGAGCAGCCGAGCCGCTGAGCCGCCCAGCAACCGAGCCGCCCAGCAGCCGAGCCGCCCAACAGCCGAGCCGCCCAGCAGCCGAGCCGCCGAGCCGCCCCGCAACCGAGCCGCCGAGCCGCCCAACAGCCGAGTCGCCGAGCCGCCCTGCCGTCGAGCTACTACTGTTCCTACCGGCGCGCCCCGACCCTACTTACTCGGACTGGTGAGATCACTCCCTGCTAGGCCACTGCAGTCATGGCTACCCCCAGTGTCCTTACCTTTGATGCTGAGGGTCGTGCTGTTGACTTTGAGGTATGGATCGATGACCTCCAGCTGTTCCTACAGTGCGATAGGGCAGACGGACTCTCCCTGTTCGATCTCACCTCTGTTGCCTCTCCTGCCCCGCCTTCTACTGCTGACAGCACTGTTCGCTCACAGTGGGCCACACGCGATGCTGCTGCCCGCCTTGCTGTGCGTCGCCACTTACCGACCACTGAGCGTGCGCACTTTAGCCAGTACAAGAGTGCTAAGACCCTATACAACGCTGTAGTTGCACGCTACTTCTCCCCTGCCACTGCTGCGCTTAGCCGCCTCATGCTGCCGTACCTGTTCCCTGACCTTGCTGCCTTTCCCACAGTCGCTGACCTCATTACGCACCTTTGCACTAGTGACACTCGCTACCGCGCTGCGCTTCCTGCTGAGTTCTGTGCCAAGAACCCCCCCCCCATGTACATCACCCTTTGAGGGGTGTTCCCCCTCCCCCCTCTTGCCCTCTGTTGCTTCTGCTGCTGCGGCCGACCTCGTTGGTTTCGAGTCGGTCGGCGCTGCTTCTGCCCCTAGCGGGAGACGCCGCACTGGCAAGGGCAAGGGGGGCAAGGGCGCTGGAGGGGCTGGCGGGGGCGGTGGAGGTGGTGGTGGAAGCAGTGGAGGGGGTGGGGGTGGTGGTGGGAGTGGTGGCGGGGGTGGAGGTGTCGGTGGCAGTAGTGGAGGCGGAGGAGGCGGCAGTGGTGGCGGAGGGAGCGGAGGCGGCGGAGGTGGCGGAGGTGGCGGAGGTGGCGGAGGCGGCGGATGTGGCGGAGGCGGCGGCGGCAGCAGTGGAGCTGGTCGTGGCTCTGCGCAGAGGAGTGGCTCCGGTGGTGGTCCGCGCCAGCAGCAGCAGCACAGTCGTGAGACCCTGTCCCCTCAGCAGCTTCGTGAGTGGTACGCTGCGAGTCAGCGCGATGGGGGTACTGGTCCCTGCACCTACGTCCTCCGTACCGGCGACCGCGCTGGTGAGCAGTGCGGGGGCCCGCACTCCACCCAGCGCTGCTTCGGCCGCCTGACGGACGCGTGGCGTCACCTGTTCCCTGAGGCCTCTGAGATCCCTCGCTGGGGAGAGCTGTCTAGGGCGGGGGTTGCTATCTTTGATCTTGATTATGATGCTATTCTTGCAGCCATGTATGCTGTGTCTGATAGTATTGAGGGTGACTGTTACCTGTGTAGCTTTAACTACCCCAATGTCCATCAATTTCTTGCCTGATGCCAACATTGAAGTTACCAGGCGACGCGCGGTTACAGGCTCTTTACAATGGTGCTCTTTTAGTCTTCATTATGGGAACCTAACCACCATTTGTTTGAGTTCCAGGCTGTCGTCCTTGCTTCAATATACATCCAGCAAGTTTACTTTGAACGACAACAATCAAGGTTTCAAGCCTCTCCATGGATACTATTGCGCGCCATTACTACCGTTTTCATCCAGCCGCGTCGGCATCAATGACACCCTAGAAATCGACGCATCATTTCCCAAGGATAACTCTCCTCGAGGATGTGGGCCAGTCCCAATGGTTGCTCTTGTCGCCTCGGGTCTGGACCTGCAGAGGTTCGCCTTTAAACACAGGAGATATAAGACACTGGAGATATTGGTGCTCAGATCAGCTTGTCCTACAGCCAGTCTCAGGCTGTCAAGCTTCTCTCATCATCGCACAATGGTGAAGCCGCGTAGCAACAAAGCTGGCAAGAAGACGGAGGAAGGTGGCCGCGGAAAGGAGCATGCGGCGAACGTAACTGACGTACCTGTGCCTGACGCTGCTGACAAGAGTCGGCCCAGTTCACCAGCGACGCCTGCCGTGTTTGGTCCTTTCGAAGACCTGCTAGATCTGCAAAACAAGGCGGATAATGCTGCTGACCCTGGTGACGGTACCGCTGTTGACGAGGCTGATTCTGAAGGACAAGATCAGGGCCCGGCGAAGGAAGGTGCTGCTGATACGGGCAATAAGGATGATGAAGAAGAGGACTTGTCTGATTCGGTCCCTGGGGATGAAGACGATGGGTATCTGAGCGATGGCTCGGACGAGCACCTGGAACCTGCTTCGCTTTCCAGTGCTTTGGCTTTGAATCGATTCTCACTAACCTTGCTGGTGCCGATCCTCAGGAAAGTGGAGGTTAAGCGCGCGGCTGTGACGATTGCTGCGTTGTTGGATGACTGGAAGGACCAGTTAACTCCGGATGTGCTGCAGACAACGACCTACCAGGAGCTCACGGCGACCTTTTTCTCTGGCACACGCTATGGTCGGCTGCAAGTCACGTTTAACCACGTCAGAGATGCGAACTTCGTATGGAACCAGGTCATCAAGCATGAGTGTGTGAATGGGGACATCATCGATCTTACCTGGCAGTTCCCTGAAGATGCGCGTTTCCTCCGTAAACGCGTTCTGAACCCGTTGGCACAGGAGGTGGTGGTCAAGGGGGTGCCAGCCGAGATCTCTGCGGAGCTTATTCGCCATCTGATGGTGGTGTCAAAGCTGGTCAAGCAAGGCAGGAGTGCCTTCGCCAGTGGCTTTGGCTTTCACCGAACGCTGGACTCGGTTTCTGGGCTCGATACTGACTGTATTCGCGGGCTGGTAGTTCCCCACGCCGACGATGAGTATCGCTGGAGGTATTTTGTGGAAGAGCCGACGACGAAGAGACGTTACCTGCTCCACTACCCATCACTCACCTGCGAGTTCTGCAGTGGTCCGCATATGTCGCGCTATCACGACCACTATGTCACGACAAGAAAGGAGGATTTTACCAACTGGAACCTGTCGGTTAAAAAGGTTCATGACATGAACGGTACTCACCGAGCTGATCCGCACGCCTTTTCTTTGCAGTTTTTACCGCTTGCTCCACTTCTCATACCTTATCCTGACAATTTTCTCCTTACCGTTCCTCGCAGCTGCATCCCTGAAAGCCACCACCCTCCTGAAACGTATCCTGAAAGATCCTGCAGTTATTCTCACCTCCACAGGAGGGATGCGGGAGGAGTGGGTGTGTGTGCAGACCGTGTGCGAGAAGGCACAGGGGAACCGGTTCGAACAAGCAGCGGCTCACGTTGCATCTGCCAAGCACAAGGGGGGTCTGCGAACAGAAGGAGCGGCAACCCGCGCCAGCAAGCATTCCCAGAAGATGGCTGCTTTCAAGAAGGACTTCATTGTCAAGCAGTCAGCGAAGTGAACAGCGGCCTGGTCACGTGCACCTCGATGAGAGGGGGGGAGGCAACAGGATGGTTTCTGGGAGCAGGTTGTGTAGTCGGTGCCATGCTCTCTTTCGCTGTAGCTGGCTGTATCGTCGCAATAAAACTCAATCGCCCGTGGATGCGGTGGGGCTCAAAGGAGTGGTCAAATGAATAAGCACAACAACCTAACTATTCTCGAGCTCAACATCAACGGGCTCGGTAGCAGTGGGAAACAAGAACGGTGTGCAGCATGGATCAGGAAAGCAGCGAGCATTGCAGTACTCACAGATACGCGTGTTCCAGCCGATCACAATTTCTGGACGCAAATTAGATCAGAGGCTCAGGCGGTGGTTGGCCCATCGCAGAGAGCAGGAGGGGTAGCGGTCTTAGGCTTCTTGCCTGGGATGCAGTTCACAGAAGTCAGCAAACATGCATCTGGTCGACTCTTGAGCCTGCTGGTATGTTGGCGGGATCTGAAGTGCAGAATAGTGGCAGCGTATCTACCGGCGCAGGCAACCGCTAGGGGTATCTTCTTCCGGGATGAGCTATCCCCCTTCGTACAAAGCCTGGACGCCTCCCCCCATACAGTCCTCATAGGAGACCTGAACGTTGTAGCAGTTCCAGAGCTGGATAAGTCCTCAAAGCTGGGGACTCTGGCGGAGAACCAGAAACTTCTGCAGATTTGCTCGAGATGGGATCTGCAGGATGCATTCCGGAGTCTTCACCCGACGCGCAAGGAATTTACTTTTTTCTCCAGATCTACAAGGACGAGCACACGGATTGACAGGGCATTAGTTTCACTCTCCCTACTCGGAAGTGTAACGGAGGCGAAGCATTGTATGGTACCCTACGGTCTGACTGACCACTGGTTTGCGGTGAAGGTGTCGCTCAAGGCGGCGGCAGCGGATGATCATGGTCCTGGCTTGTGGAGGCACCAAACGTCTCGGCCCGGGGGTGATGGGGTCAAGAACATCATCTCAGCGGCGGTGGCGGCGCATAAGAGCAGCTCAGATCAAAGCCTGGAGAGACTTGTGATGAACCTGCGAGCATGCATGCGGGTGTTGGGTGCAAATTCACATTGCACGACATCCTGCCGTCTGTTTGTACGAGTATGCGTGTGCGAATGCATTTGCGTGTGAATGGTATGTTCGTGTGTTTGTTTGCTTTCGCAATTTTCGCTTAAAGCATTTACAGGTACTCGCACAATGTGCGCTTCGGCATAACATTGTACGCGCTATGAACAGTACAAGCAGAAAGGACGAGCTCGCAAAGGAACCCAAGATGGAAGCTTTGTGGTTCGGCTTACTTGATTGCGCAGATTCAGTTCTATCCAACTCGAAATTGTACTGTTTTGTTTGGTTGACTATAGTGTAGCAGGGAAGGCACTATAGGGTTACAATTTAGGTGAAGGTTGGATGTTGTTTGTCTGTATCTGCATGCTACAGGGCCAGGGGAAACCAGCGGAACCAGCATTTGGCTGGTTGGGCAAAGACAAAACAGGTTCTGTTTTTAGGACCTGAACCTGGTTGTTGTTTTCCCAGGTTGGAAAAACAGAACCAGAGGTTGTTCACCAACCTACCACCTGCTATTTTGTCCAGCCAGGTTGGTTCTGTTGCTTGGAATTATTTGGGATCATCCCTGGTTGTTCCCAGGTTGATTCCCAAGGTCCTTGCTAGCTAGAGCTATTTATTCCTTCTCTGTTTGTACCTGAATATAGTGAAATTGATTCAAGCGAATTCCTTCCTTGCTGGAATTTCGTTTCTACGCGGTGCGACGGCGGAATGCTACCCGAGTCAACGCTAGTACGCTAGCACTCCAACGCTAGACTAACGCTGTCCGAGCCATACCTTCGTAATGGCAGAACTTTTCGCGAGACAACTTGGCTTATTCTAAAGCTCTTAGAGTGAGCTTCGATATAGGAAATTCTCAGCTTAATCCGATTTACGGTCTGCACGATACGCTGCGCGACGTTCAAGGTACTCTTGCTGTTTTGACTAAGTCCCTCTTGATCCCTCTCTCTACAAACTCGGACCCGAGGATAGGGGCTGGTCTTGTACCAGGCATCCAAGGACCCTTGGAGGTGACCCCGAGGAGAGGTTTTAAGTTTGATAAAGTCTTAATAGCTTGAGTTTATTAGGCCCTTACACCAACAAGCTGGTATCAGAGCTGCGTTATAGTGATCCTCGATATAGGTAGCTATGGCGGGCAACACCTCGGCGGTAGCTGGTGAATCTTCAGCCCAAGATCGTAGCGGCAGCCAAGATTCTGGTGTTTCTGCGCCAAGGGGAGCGCGAACAAGCCAGGGCTCGCTGATCAAGGAGGTGCTGAAAAACTTCACCGTCGAGAAGTTCAATGGTGAGGGCTATGATGATTGGGCCTGGAAAATGCAACTTTATTTCCGTTAGATCGGATTGCTGAAACTAATGATTGGGGAGGAGCCTAGACCGAGTGACCCCGCCCTTCAGGAAGATTGGGACGAGCGCGCCTCGGCTGGCTACTACTTGATGTCGCAGAGTTTGGAGCTGAACTAGCGTCACCACGTCATGCATCTGCTGCCGGAGGTTGAGTGCGGTCCGAAGGCGTGGACGGTGTTGAAGGAGCTGCACGCCCCTACCTCCGTCGCTGCGACGCTCATGATGGAGAGAGAGCTGTCTGCGTTGCGCCTAAGCGAGGGAGAGCCGGTACAACCCATCCTGGACAAGATGCGTGATCTCTACGCGAAGCTGGCGATCGCGGGAATCACCTACCCGGAGCAGACCAAGTGCCTGAAGATGCTCTCGCTGCTGCCGGAATCGTGGCTTCAATTCACGAGCGGATTGAGCCTGCCGCAGAACCAAAGCTCATGGACACTCGAGTGGGTGCGGATGAAGATTCTGGAGGAGGACTTCCGTCGCCGCCAACTGAGGGGTGGAGACGACGGCAGCAGCGGCTACGAGATGCAAGGGAGCCGACGTGGCAAAGGACGTGGCTTCGGTGGTGCTGGACGCGGTGCAAAGAAAGACGACGACTCCAACGACCAACAAGGAGGTACCGGTTGGGGTCGCGGTGCGAAATCTGGACGTGGGGGCAAGTCCGGTGCTGGTGGCAAAATGAAAGGGAGTTGCTGGTATTGTGAGAAGGAAGGGCACCCCTGGTTTTTGTGCTATAAGAAACCCAATGGATGGACCCCCCAGAATCGTCACCAGGATGGCGGCGCGCGGAGGAACCAGAAAAACGGCGCCAACATGGTCGCTGATTCGTCCGACAACAACCCGAAGGGCAACGGCGGTGCGGAGAAGAAGAAGGAGCGCACCGCGGGCCAATTCTTCCATGTGGGAGACAAGGGGGAGCAAGGAGATGCATCTGCTAAGGTTGGAGCAGAGCTGCACCCCTCGGACTATTGGGTGTTGGACACAGGCGCTGCTTGGACAATGACGCCGCGCAAGGACCTGCTGGACGACGTACGTGCTGCACCGATTAATGAGGTGTGCTCTGCCTCTGGACACATGTTGAAGGTGGCTGGTGCGGGACGAGCTGCGTTTAAGGGAGCGGATGGCAAGCCGGTGGTGCTGCACGACGTTCTCCTCGTCCTCGACCTGAAGGCCAACCTCATCTCCCTCCGTAAGCTTGGCAAGGCTGGGGTGAACACCAACACAGATGGGGCTCGCACTTATAAGGGGAAGCTGGGCAATCGGGTGCTTTGGGATCTGCACGAGAGTACAGACGTGTACAGATCCATGTGGCAGCTGCCGGCGTTGGCGTGGCATGGTGGGGGGCTCGCTGGAGAGGGGTCTGCATCCCAGGGGGAGTGCAACGCCGTTGGAGGGGTTGGTGTGAAAGTGTTGGCCAGATCTGGGGAGACAGATTGGGCAACTGCACACCGACGTTTGGGGCATGTGGCAATGCCTTTGCTGAAGCAGCTGGAGAAGGATGGAGCCGTAAAGGGCTTGAATCTGAACGGACAACCACCCGATGATAACTGTGAAATTTGCCTCCTTTCAAAGTTCACCCGTTTCCCCTTCCATAGTGTGGTCGGCAGGAGCAAAAAGCCGTTGGAGTTGGTCCACATGGACTTGGTGGGGCCGCTGCCGGTGCAAGGGCACAAGGGGGAGCGGTACTTCCTAACCATAGTGGATGACTGGAGCAGGCTAATGTGGGCGTATCCGCTGAAGCAGAAAGATCACGCCGCCTCCACGATTCGAGACGATTGGCTGCCGTTCGTGGAGAAGCAAGCGGAGTGTGTGGTGAAGCGGATTAGGACAGATCGGGGTGGTGAGTTCCTTGGAGCTGAGATGACGGCCTGGCTCAAGAAGCAGGGCATCCAGAGGGAGCTGACCACGGCTTACACCCCACAGTCTAACGGTGTAGCAGAACGGGCGAACCGGACAATTCTGGAAACAGCTAGGGCGCTGCTCATAGAATCTGGGCTGGGCAACTTGATGTGGCCCCATGCTGTTCGGCACGCTACCGTCGCTAGGAACAAGGTACTCACAAAGGTTGGGGATGACTCGTGGGTGCCGTTGGAGAGGTGGCTTGGGAGGAAGCCGCCGGTGGACATGCTGAGGGTGTTCGGTTGCATGGCAGTCGCCCACGTCCCCAAGACCTACCGCAGTAAGTTGGGGGCAAGTGCAATCTGGTGTGTGCATTTGGGGCTGGCTGCTGAGAGCAAGGGATGGCTGCTGTGGGAACCTTCCAAGGGTGTGTTGTTTGACAGCAGGGATGTGAAGTTTGTTGAGGGCATGATGTATGGGAGCTGGGAGAAACAGCCGGAGGCCAGGGTGTCCCAACAAATGGAGCAGATCACCATGCAGCTGGACCTGACTCCTAGTGTGTGGGAGGAGGAAGAGGAGGCAGCTGCAGAGGGTGGTGATGGAAAGAAGGTACAGGAGGCACCTGCTGGTGGAGAAAATGATGTGGACACTGGCACTAGTGGAGCTGCTGGATCTGAGGGGAAAGAGCAGCAGCAGGGAAAAACTAAGAAGCCGAAGGGTGTCGTTATGAAGGGATGGGAGACACCCGTCTCCAGGCCAGGACGTACCCGTATGGCTACTAAGAAGCTGACTGCAGGAGCTGATGTAGCGGAGCAGCAGCTTGGGACTGAGGAGGCATTGCTGATTCTACCGCATGGCTATGATTCGGATGAGGAGGATGAACCTGCGTACTGTTTTCTTGCCCCTGCACCAGAGGAACCAGCTAGCATGGAGGAGGCATTAGCTGGACCAGATAGGGACAAATGGCTAGCTTCTAGGGATGCTGAGTACCAGAGCCTGCTGGAGAATGGGACTTGGGAACTAGTGGTGCTGCCCGAGGGAAAGAAAGCGGTACAATGCAAATGGGTGCTAAGGATCAAGACTGACGACAAGGGGCAGGTCACCATCTACAAGAGTAGGTTGGTGGCTAAGGGGTTTATGCAGAAGGAGAAGCGGGACTTCAATGAGATCTTTGCTCCCACTGCCAAACCCCCTATCCTTCGTGTCTTGTTGGCAGATGCAGCCGTTAGTGGGAAGTTCATTATCCAGATGGACATATCAACGGCATTTCTCAACGGGATTTTAGAGGAGGAGGTGTTCATGACGCAGCCACCCGGGTATGAGGATGGTACGGGCAGGGTGTGCAAGCTGAAAAAGTCCATCTACGGCTTGAAGCAGGCGCCACGCTGCTGGTACCAGAAGTTGGCAGCTGTTGTAGAGGAGATGGGATTCAGGACCAGCAGCTGTGATGAGAGCCTCTTTCTCAAGGGGGAGGGGGAGAAGCTGGTGCTGTTTCTGGTCTATGTGGACGACATTCTTCTCTTTAGCAGCAGCATGAAGGAGATCCAGAAGGTGCAGCAGCAGCTGATGGAGAACTTCAAGTGCAAGAACCTTGGGGAGGTAAAGTACTACCTCGGGATGCACGTGGAGAGTGATCTGGATCACAGGTGGTTGAAGCTGCACCACGAGAAGTTCATCAAGGAGCTTGGGGAGAAGTACAGAGTTGAGAATGAGCGCAAGGTTGCAACTCCCCTGCTAGCAGAATTCAAGCTTGTGAAAGCTGCAGAGGATGAAGGGGTTGAAGCCGAGGGGCAGCAGCAATTTCAGTCCTTGGTGGGCAGCCTCTTGTATGCAGCAGTTCACACGAGGCCCGACATCTCTTTCTCGGTTGGGCAGCTGGCTAGGGTGGTGCAGAATCCATCAGAGGAGCAGGTGGATGCAGCTGAGCGTGTGGTGAAGTATCTGAACTCTCACCCAAGCATTGGAGTTCAATACTCCGCATCTGCACAGGTGAAGCAGAAAGGGGTTGAGGTGCTGAAAGAGAAAGGGGAGAGGCTTGGAGAAGGCAAGCTCTTTCTCACTTGCTTTACCGATGCTACGTGGGCCTCTGAGAAAGAGGATTCCTCATCTGTGGGAGGATACATCTGCGTAGTTGGGGGAGGACCTGCTAGTTGGAGGTCAAAGAAGCAGACGGAGACAGCACTCTCTTCTATGGAATCAGAGTACATGGCGATGTTCCATGGGGTGAAGGAGGTGATTTGGCTGAGGAGGCTGTTAGAGGAGATTGGCCAGGAGCAAAAGGTTGCTACGCCGCTGTTTTGTGATACCAAGGGAGCTCTTGGGATGGCCAGGAACGCTGTGCTTCATGGGCTGAATAAGCACATGCGTATCAAGTGGCACTGGCTGCGTAAGGAGGTGAAGAGGGGGACGGTGAATCCGATCTACATCAAGACTCACCAGCAGCCAGCAGACTTCCTCACCAAGAGGCTTGCGGATGAGCCTCATTGGCGTTGTGTGCGCATGAGTGGAATGAGCCTGAACTAGTATGGAATGATGGGGATGCAGCCGGCAGGCTGAGGGGGAGTGTGTTGCGTGCAAATTCACATTGCACGACATCATGCCGTCTGTTTGTACGAGTATGCGTGTGCGAATGCATTTGCGTGTGAATGGTATGTTCGTTTGTTTGTTTGCTTTCGCAATTTTCGCTTGAAGCATTTGCAGGTACTCGCACAATGTGCGCTTCGGCATAACATTGTACGCGCTATGAACAGTACAAGCAGAAAGGACGAGCTCGCAAAGGAACCCAAGATGGAAGCTTTGTGGTTCGGCTTACTTGATTGCGCAGATTCAGTTCTATCCAACTCGAAATTGTACTGTTTTGTTTGGTTGACTATAGTGTAGCAGGGCAGGCACTATAGGGGTACAATTTAGGTGATTGTTGGATGTTGTTTGTCTGTATCTGCATGCTACAGGGCCAGGGGAAACCAGCGGAACCAGCATTTGGCTGGTTGGGCAAAGACAAAACAGGTTCTGTTTTTAGGACCTGAACCTGGTTGTTGTTTTCCCAGGTTGGAAAAACAGAACCAGAGGTTGTTCACCAACCTACCACCTGCTATTTTGTCCAGCCAGGTTGGTTCTGTTGCTTGGAATTATTTGGGATCATCCCTGGTTGTTCCCAGGTTGATTCCCAAGGTCCTTGCTAGCTAGAGCTATTTATTCCTTCTCTGTTTGTACCTGAATATAGTGAAATTGATTCAAGCGAATTCCTTCCTTGCTGGAATTTTGTTTCTACGCGGTGCGACGGCGGAATGCTACCCGAGTCAACGCTAGTACGCTAGCACTCCAACGCTAGACTAACGCTGTCCGAGCCATACCTTCGTAATGGCAGAACTTTTCGCGACGCAACTTGGCTTATTTTAAAGCTCTTAGAGTGAGCTTCGATATAGGAAATTCTCAGCTTAATCCGATTTACGGTCTGCACGATACGCTGCGCGACGTTCAAGGTACTCTTGCTGTTTTGACTAAGTCCCTCTTGATCCCTCTCTCTACAAACTCGGACCCGAGGATAGGGGCTGGTCTTGTACCAGGCATCCAAGGACCCTTGGAGGTGACCTCGAGGAGAGGTTTTAAGTTTGATAAATTCTTAATAGCTTGAGTTTATTAGGCCCTTACACCAACAGCGGGCTCATGTAGCAGAAGAGAGGAAGAGGGTGAGAGCGACCTTGGCACATTTGGAGCGGAAGGTGGAAGAGCTGCGGTGGAAAGTGATGGCTGACGCGAAATCGCATGTCTTGTACGAGGAGCTGGTCAAGGCTGAAGCAGCGCTCAAACTCTATCAAGACACTAACAAGGAGCGGTTGCAGGTCATGACGGGGCTGCTGATGGAGTTGACGAGCGAGACGCCCTCCGGTTTTCTGTCGGGGCTGGTCAAATCGAGAAAGGCAAAGACGGAGATTCTGGAGTTAGTACTCAAGGGGGTGCAAAGGAAAGGGGCGAAAGAGGTGTTGCAGGCGGCTTCATAGCATTTCAGAGTAGCGTATGCGGAGTCAGCGCCAAACCATGCCATGGAGCCGTGGCCAATAGATGAGAGCAGAATGCTGCAGGAGAAGGATCAACTGCAACTAGGAGCGGAATGGTCGGAAGAGGAGGTGAAAGCGGAGCTCAAGGGTCTACCATTGGGGAAAGCCCCGGGGCAAGACGGCCTACCGAAGGAATTTTTTGAGCACCACTGGGAGCTACTCGGCCCGGCTGTGATGAAGGAGGTTAAGGGCTTCGAGTCGACCGGGGTACTCTCGGAGGCGTTCACAACTGCGGTCACCATCCTGCTACACAAGAAAGGAGACAGATGTGATTTGGGCAATCATAGGCCGATCACTTTGCTGAGCTTCTTCTACAAGTTACTGGCGAAAGTGATGGCGAACAGGATCAAACTTGTCTTACCGCGGGTGATCTCGGACAAGCAGTTCGGCTTCCTTCCGGGGAGGAGCCTTGCTGACGCGGTCTCGCTGGTAGCAGATGTAATTGACGCTGCGGAGGAGGAGGATGAAGATTGGCTGCTGCTGCTGGTGGACTTTCAAAAAGCTTACGATTCCGTGTCGAGAGATTACCTGTTCAAGACGCTGGGTGACATGGGCTTCCCGGAGAAATATGTGCGCTGGGTAAGAGGTCTGCACGACGGAGCAGCAACCAAGATGCTGCTGAACGGTTGGGTAGGAGATCGTGTGGCGATGGACAAGGGTGTGCGACAAGGTTGTCCGCTCGCCCCGTATCTCTTCCTTTGCGCGGTGGAGCCACTCTGCCAGGAAATAGAGAGGAGAAATCTGGGAGTTCGGAAACGGGGGGTGAAGGGGGAGCTAGCCTACATCGGATACGCTGATGATACGACTCTCGTTCTGAGAGGGAAGGAGCAAGTGGTTACAGCGGGAAAGCTGCTCGACGAATTTGCAGAAATTTCGGGGCTGAGGGTGAACAGCAGCAAAACGACACTGATGCCGCTGGGGAAGAATAGGAGGAGGCTGCAGCCGATAGCATCACTTTTCCCGTGGGCTGACAAGGACAAGTCGGAGCGGTTACTTGGAATCTGGATAACATCTGGGGGGTCGCCGGGTCCTGCATGGGACAAAGCATTTGAAAAGGTCAGCGCGGTGCTGAGCTGTTGGGAATCAAAGCATCTCAAGACGTCGGCGAGAGTCACAATTATTAACAGCTACGCGATGCCGATCTTGCTGTTCCAAGCACAGATCTACGCCCCGCCGCATGATATCTGGACCAAGGTGAAACGGCTATGTCACAACTTCATCTCGGGTGGAAGAGCGCTTCTTGATCGGCACTTCACCCTTTGGAGTTACGAGCTGTCGTGCAGGGGAAGGAAAGAAGGGGGTCTGGGAGTAATTGATCTGAAGCAGCGGATTGACAGCATTGTGATACAGAATTTGGGAAAAGTTCTGACGGAACAGGTGCCGCTGCGGAACTGGTTATGGGAGAGAGCGGCCGGCTTCCCACTCGGGCTGGCCGCGATTTACGCCCATCCCTCAGTGCTGAAGCATTGGCTGGGCGGGGGTACGAGGTGGAAGGCAGCTGTGAAGGCGCTGTGGGAATCGAAGATCGTGACCATGGGCGACCCTATACACAGATGGGATGCGGAGGAGGAGCAGCTGCTTTTTAACCGCAAGATATTCTTCAGGGGCGGTTCGCCTTTCGGAAACCAGGCGGGCTCGCACAGTTTGAAGGGTGTCCGTCTGGGGGACCTGATAGCCAAAGGTGCAAATGGCAGCAGAAGTCTCAAAAATGAGGTGGTCCTGGAACAGGAGCTGGGAGGTGCGGAACAGAGGAAGTGGGCTCTCAAAGCATGGGAAGCAACGCCCCAGAGGTGGAGGGATTTGCTACTCAACCAATTGACAGCGGAAGAGGTTTTTAGGGAGACGGCGCTTATTTGCTCACCGTCTTACCGGCCGGGAAAGTTCCTCTACTACCAGCTGGAACACGTGGAAGACGGCGTGTTGTACGGGAGGATGGTGGAAGTGGATAAAAAAGGTTTCATATCGGTGGTGAGGTACGCTGACGTGACGACGGTGAATTTCCTACGAGCTACGCCCATGGCGGTCATTGACGGGAGAGTCCGCGGCCCGCTTGGAACCAAGAGAACAAGGCTGCTATACACTCCGATCTGTGAAAAAGGGGAGCGAGCCGGGCTGAAGCAGCTGAGGAAGGTGATGAAACCCTCTTTGTCTCAGCCAAAGCAGAAGTTGCGGTGGGAGGAGGTGGCAGGGAGGAAAATCGATTGGGGAAGGCCATCACGGTCCGGGACTCTTTGGCAACCCCATGCAGAGCGAGGGAGGTGGTGCTGAGGCTGCACAGCAACAACCTGCAAGTGGGGGAGAGGTTTCTTTCCTGGGGGAGAGGGCGAAATGTGTGTACTGCGGAGGGGTGGAGTCGCAGGATCACTGTTTATTCAGCTGCCCGGCGATCCAGCCAGTGGTCAGGGTAATGAAGGGTGCGGTACAGTGCATGAACCCGGGCAGGGAAATGAAGTCCCTCGGAGACATGTTGTTCCAGGAGAGTGGCACGTCGTCAGGTTTTCCGGAAGCAGCCATCATTTCAATTACAGCACAGCAAGTGTGGCTGGAGAGGTGCAATGCGGTGTTCCGTGGCAGCCGGTTTCAGCCTAAGAGAGCACTGAGGCACATAACAGTTGGCTTTACAAGACACGTGAAGATTTACAGCAGAGTGCGGAAACGGTTGGCTGGCAAGAGTGGTTCGAAGAGGACAAGGGAGTGGAGTCATCTGAATGCTGACGAGGCAAAAGCTTTGAACAGATTGTACGAGACCAAAGCCTCGATGATGTGGAGAGCAGGTTTCAAGGCCATATGGGAAGATGGCGGTGTAGCCTTTCAACCCCCGTAAGGTGGAAGGGGGGGGCCTGGTTACCTGTAGCCACTTGCATGCCCTCCTAGAATCAGTTACGACTGCGAGTGTATGTATACATGTAGTGTACTTATGCTCACAAAAAAAAAAGAAAAAAAAAAAACTGTTACCTGTGTGTTCCGCCTGACCCGGGCATTGAGGTTGCTGCTCTAGGTGCTGGTGAGGCTGCTGCTCTAGGTGCTAGTGCGTCTGCTGCCCCAGGTGCTGGTAAGTCTGCTCTCTCAGGTACTACGTCGGCTCAGGCCTTACACACCTTCACCCTTGACTCGGGTGCTTCCCGCTCCTTTTTTCGAGACCGCACCACGCTTACGCCGCTTTGTCGGCCGGTTGCATTCTCCCTGGCGGACCCCTCTGGGGGTCCTATCCTTGCAAGCTTCTCAACTGTCTTACCGTGCCCGGCAGCCCCCTCTGGCACCCTGTCAGGTCCCTACCTCCCCTCGTTCTCTACGAACTTGGTGAGTGGAGCTGATCTACAGGATAGGGGGGTTGACCAGTTCACTCCTGCGAGTCAGCGGGTGACCCACTGCACGTGTGCTCGGACAGGCCGACACTTGGCCACGTTCACCCGTCGGCCAGGGTCGAGCCTGTACACACTTACTACTGAGTCTCCTCCGGCTGCTGAGTCTGGTCAGGTAGCTGCGTCGAGTCAGGTGTTTGCTGCAGCGTCCAGGTCTGGTCCTGAGTCTGCTCCCTGCTCGTGTCGTCTCCTGTCCCACCTGACTCTCCTTTGGGACCACCGCCTTGGTCACCCCTCCCGTGTCCTTGTCTCTGGTCTCCCCCGGTCTCTCCCTCCCCTACCTCCGGGGCCTGCCCCTACCTCCGTCCCCTGCGTCGAGGGGCGACAGCGCGCCGCCCCTCACTCCTCCGAGTTTCCTCCGACAGAGGCTCCGCTGCAGACTCTTCACATGGACGTGTGGGGCCCCGCCCGCGTCCGTGGCCAGGGGCACGAGCGTTACTTCCTGTTGGTGGTTGACGACTACTCGCGTTACACCACAGTCTTCCCCTTGCGCACCAAGGGTGACGTCACTAAGGTGTTGATTGACTGGATCCGCGCAGCTTGTCTCCAGCTCAGAGAGAGTTTCGGGTCGAACTTTCCTGTTCTGCGTCTGCACTCTGACAGAGGCGGGGAGTTTTACTCTGCCTGTCTGGGAGCCTTCTGTCGAGCACAGGGCATCCGCCAGACCTTCACGCTTCCGGCCTCTCCACAGCAAAATGGGATTGCTGAGCGCCACATTGGCATGGTCATGGACGTCGCTCGTACGTCCATGATCCATGCGGCTGCTCCCCATTTTCTGTGGCTGTTTGCGGTTCAGTACGCAGCGCATCATGGCAACCTCCAGCCCCTGGTCTCCTTGCCGAGACCTCCCCCACCTTGCGGTGGACGGGGAAGGTTGGCGATGCGTCTGCGTTTCGGGTCTCGGGATCTCGGAAGTTTGTCCGCGTCTTGTCTGCGGACAAGCTGTCCCCCCATGCTGTTCCTTGCGTCTTCCTTGGCTTCCCCCCTGACGCGCCTGGTTGGCAGTTTTACCACCCCACCTCGCGCCGTGTTCTGTCCTCCCAGGACGTCACCTTTGACGAGTCGGTGCCTTACTACCGTCTCTTCCCCTACCGCACTGCGCCCCTCCCCCTGCCGTCGCTCTTCCTTGCGCCAGGTCCTCCCCCGGTAGACCCCCTCCCCCCTCAGGGTCCTGCCCCGTCAGGTGTGTCCCAGGTAGACGCAGTCGAGCCTGTCGAGGTAGCTATTGACTCTGGTGCTGCTAGAGGTGCTGAGCCGGCGGGTGCTGGGTCTGGAGGTGCTGAACCTGGGGTTGAGGAGCCAGGGGGTGCTGAGTCCAAGGGCGCGGAGCCTGGGGATGTTGAGCCTGGGGGTGCTGAGTCTGGGGGTGCTAAGTCTGGGGGTGCTGAGCCTGGGGGTGCGGAGCCTTGGGGTGCGGAGCCTGGGGGTGCTGGGTCTGCTCGTGTGGCCTCTCGCGGTGCTTCGTCGAGACGGGAGCCACTCTCTCTGCAGGAGCTGCGCGAGTGGTTTGCCCGGCGCTGGAGCCGTGCTGCTGGAGCCGGAGGTACTCGTACTGGCGGTGTTGGAGCTGCTGGGACTGGGGGTGCTGCTGGAGCTGCTGGAGTTGGTCCTGCTGGAGGTCCTGCTGGAGCTGCTGGAGGTCCTGCTGGAGCTGCTGGCGGTACTAGAGCTGACGGTCCTGCTGGAGCTGGAGCTGCTGGGGGTGTTGGCGCTGGTGGTTCTGCTGGCGCTGGTGCTTCTGAGGGTGCTGGAGTTGGCGTTGTTGGAGCTGGAGGTGCTGCTGGCGCTGGTACTGCCGCTAGGGGTACTGGTGCTGTCCCTTCTGGTTCTGGAGGCGCTGCGCGGCTGAGGCCGTACTTTGTTCCGCTCCTTGAGCAGGTTCTTGGTCTCCCGCCCTCTACTGGTCCTGCTCCTCCCTTAGAGTGTCCACAGCCTGTCCAGTCGCGGTCACAGTTACAGCCCACCTCCCCTCTTCCTGCTCCTTCTCCCTACACTGGTCCTACTGGAGGTCTTGCTGAGCGTCGTGAGCCTGCGTCTCGTCCTGCATCGCCTGTTCGTGCTGCTCGCACTAGTGGTCGTGCTCCGCGTCCGCGTCCTCCTACGGTCCCCGGCACACACCAGATGGCACTGCGTCCTTCCACTGCTCCTTTGCGTGTCCCGTTGCCGTCTCCTCTAGAGTCCTCTCTTCCTACTCTTGCTGACCTGGAGTCTGACTCTCTTCGTGCTGCCAGTCCTTCTGTCAAGCGTCTCCTGGCTACTGTTGTCACTGACCCTTCTTTTGAGTCCACTGTTGCGTCTGCCTTAGTTGCTGAGCTTGTCGACTTTGCTGCTCGCTGTCGTCTAGACTACGCTGCTAGTCTTGTTGCTGAGTCTGAGTCTGTCTGTCCTCCATCCGTCGGGGGTGAGTATGCTCTTAGCACGGACGTCCTTGAGGACAGGCAGGAGGAGTTCCAGTATTTTGCTGCTGCATTACCTCATCTCGTGTCCACGCTGATTGCCCCTGAGGGAGACTCGAATGCACGAGACATCCCGACTCCTCGATCGTACGCTGAGGCGATCGAGGGTCCCTACTCCTCATAGTGGCAGTCAGCCATGGACGCAGAGATGGCTTCCTGGAAGTCCACAGGCACCTACGTCGACGAGGTTCCCCCACCTGGGGCGAACATCGTTAGTGGCATGTGGATTTTCAGGGTGAAGCGGCCGCCGGGTTCTCCGCCTGTCTTCAAGGCGCATTACGTGGCTCGAGGCTTCAGTCAGCGGCAGGGCGTTGACTACTTTCAGACCTTCTCTCCCACCCCGAAGATGACCACTCTTTGGGTGCTGCTGCACATAGCCGCTCAGCGCGACTATGAGCTTCACTCTCTTGACTTCAGTACAGCTTTCTTGCAGGGCAGCCTGCACGAGGAGATCTGGCTGCGCTGCCCACCTGGCTTCGCTGGGTCTTTTTCTCCTGGTACCCAGTGGAGCCTCCGGCGGCCAGTCTACGCTCTCCGCCAGGCGCCCCGAGAGTGGCACGACACACTGACGACTACACTTGCGGCTCTTGGGTTTGCTCCTCCTACAGCCGACCCGTCGCTGTTTCTGCGCACCAACACCTCTTTGCTGCCGTTCTACATCCTCGTGTACGTCGACGACTTGGTCTTTGCCACTGCTGACACTGCTGGACTCGCCCACGTGAAGTCCGAGCTGCAGAAGAGACACACGTGCACAGACCGGGGTGAAGTGGGCAGCTACCTTGGCTTGCAGATCACCCGGGACAGAGCACGCCGCACCATTACCCTGACTCAGTCACACATGGTGCAGCAGGTCCTTCAGCGCTTCGACTTCACGTACTCCTCGCCTCAAGCCACTCCTCTGTCTACTCGCCACTCGCTCTCAGCTCTGCCTTCGGATGAGTCCGTAGAGTCGAGTGGGCTGTACCCAGAGCTTGTTGGCTGCCTCATGTACCTCATGAGCTGCACACGACCTGACCTTGCATACCCTCTAGCATCTTGGCACGCTATGTTGCTCCTGGGAGACACCGACCAGAGCACATGGCTGCAGCGAAGAGGGTGTTGCGCTACTTGTGCAGTACGTCGGGCATGGGGCTAGTGCTTGGAGGGCGACGTTCAGTGGTCCTCACAGGTCACGCAGACGCTTCTTGGGCTGACGACCAGCCGACACAGTGGTCGTCACAGGGTTACACCTTCAGCCTTGGTTCCGGCTCTGTTTCGTGGCGGTCTACCCGCTCGTCTTTTGTTCTCGGCTCCAGCTGTGAGGCTGAGATCTACGCGGGGGCCATGGCTGCACAGGAGCTACGCTGGCTCACCTACCTGCTGACTGACCTAGGAGAGCCGCCTGTTCTCCTCCAGTTCTGTACGTAGACAACAAGGCCATGCTGGCCTTGTGTCGGGAGCACAGACTGGAGCACAGAACGAAGCACATTGCTCTTCGCTACATCCTTGCCCGTGAGCTGCAGCAGCGTGGTCAGCTGCGCCTTGCTTACATGGCCTCTCAGGCCAACACTGCTGATATCTTTACCAAGGCACTTCCGCCTTGTGATCATC